ACACTTACAATCAGCAATTATTGGTGCATCCTGAGGCAGGGGAAAAAGCATTTTGATGCTAATCTTTTCTTAAAACAGGGCACAAATCCAGCACTAACAAACAATGTGTGGTAGGTGGAACTGTGATAGTATCACATCTCAAGACAGCTTGACTAAAACCGAGAGATTTTCCTTCAAATCTACTTATTCTACCTTGAAAAAAACCTCCTTTATGTATAAAAAAGTCCAGCTGGAAGACTTTCCTAATTGCCCATCACGTTTAATTAGCCCTTGTGTTTTTCTCTGAAGTGATTTGAGTACAGTACCCAGATTGCACACAATGTTCCTCAGGCTGGTGAGCTGCACATGGCAACTTTTGTTAAATACCATTCATCCAGCACACACTTGAGACCTGATGATATTGGGGTATCTCACAAGAAGTAACATCATTCCTCCCTGCCCTTTTAAGAAACTGGCTTTTCTGCATTAACCTACACAAATCCAGGGGTCCTGGTTTCCAGAGCCACAACCAGACTCAGACATGCTCTGTGAGGCCAGTAGCTGGATGGGGTCTCCAAAACCTTGAGACAAACAGACTCTCAAGGCTTTCGTGGGAACTAAGCTTTAAAGACCAAGAAAGGGTTGACCTTCCGCAAGGCCAACTCAAAGGATTGTCCCTTGAACCACAACATTCAGTGGTATCTGCAAGACTTGGGCCATCTCCGAGCCTACAAACATGGGGTAACAGATGAAGCCCGTGAGTGTGGGGGTGCTTCTCTGCTGCCGATGCAATCATTCACAGCCGTCCAGGCACAGGGAGACAGCGTGGGACAGGCAGCCAGTACAGGAATATTTTAGGCTGCGCTCAGCTACCAGAGATGCCCTTTGGGTGTTCAGTACATTCAGTTTCCTTCCATCCGCTCAATTTGTTTTTTTCATTTGGCGGAAGGCTTTACCTAAAGTGACACTTCTCTTTGGTAAATGTACAGTATTGGGAGCTAATGTGAGTGAGTCATGATGCTGAACACAGAAACTTTTTGTTTTAATCATGGGAGAGAGCTGTTACTTTATCCCTATCTCAGGTGCAAAGGTCTTAAGCAGATGGAATACTGTTGTATTTCAGTATGAAATACTGCTTGATAGTATTTATATAGCCATGTACCGTACCTAGCATTTGCCATGTGGAGAGAGAGAGATGGGGAAAACACAAATCACTCTGCTCAGACTCAAACCCAAAGTCTGCAAAGCCCAGGCTGGGGGGATGGGGCAGATGTGGGTAGAGAGGTGAGAATGGAGATCAGGGTAGCAGCCACCTTTTGGGGGGGGCAAGGGCTTTGTGGGGCCACTCTGGATCTCAGGAAGCACTGCACCCCACTTTACTCCCACTGAGAAACCAGGCTGCAGGGGCAACGTGAATCAGCAGTGTGGGTGCTGATGAGCTCAGCTGTGATCGTGGGGATTTAGAGGGGACCCGGGGATCTCTTGCTGGACCCTGTTTTGGGGAACACCACAGTTGGCTCACAGCCGGTTTGGGTCAGCCAGCTCAGTTATGGCTCCGGCCACCTGAAAGCATCCTGAGCTGGCCTGGAGAGCCCCATGTCCCCATGCTGCAGCCCAGCCACTGACTTACTCCCCCCCACCCAGTCACCTTCATGTGAGTCACCCCTCAGCAAAGAAATTGTGATCTGTATGATGTGACCACAGCTGAGCTGCTTGCGCAGCACTATTGCCAGTGCGGTAACACGCAGCCCTCTGACATGGTGTGTGATACTGAAACGAGGAGAGCATCCACCTCCCAGCAACCAAGGCACCAAAACCACCAGTTTGCACCAGTTTTCTGCTGAAATCCTCCAAGTGTAACAACATATGATAACTCAGAGGGGAGTACCAAGGTCTCAGTGGGTCAGCAGCTAAGGGAATTAGAGCCCTGAGCCCAGAACATGCAGTGTTTTAAAGCAGACAGTACAGGAAAACAGATACAGAACAAAGTGGTGCAACAAACGTTTTTACCCTTCCCAGGAAATCAGCTCTTCAGTATTTCAGGTTTGCCTTCATTTGCACCAAGGCCACACAGTCACTTAGCCATAAATCTGCCCAGGGGGAAAACAACTCCAAACAAATAAACAAAAAATATGCAGTAAGGGGCATTTTTACCGACAGCAGCTTTGGAAAAGCCTGGCAGAGCACTGTGCTCCCCGAGCAGAGGCACTGATGGGGCGGGCAGGTTTGGCTCTGGTACCCCTCCTTATTGCAGCCGGCGTTCCTCCTGCCCAGCGGCAGGGCTGGCAGCCTGCGAAGCTCTCCAGGCTGCTTGGAATGAAGCAAGCAGAGCCAGCCCTTCAGAAAGGGATAGAAAGGGCTCGGCTCAGTTGGGCTGCTCTTTTCCTGGGGGTATTGGGTAGATCACCCACCCAGGAACAAGGAGCTGTCACGTTCATGAGTGAAGGTGAAAGCCTCTCTTTCCTATCTATGCTTCTGCTCTCTATGCTGGGGAGAAGAATGCCATGAACTCACTGGTTTCTTACACAAAACTGTTTGCTTTCTTTCATGTTTTGAAAACTTTCCTACATGAACCACTTTTGATACTGTTTTTCTCAAAAAAAAAAAAAAGATTTTGAACACTTGCAAACATTACTCCTATTTCCTCACCGTCACAGCATTGCACAGGGCACAGATCACACCTTTAGTTCAGACAACAAATTCACCGGTGCCAAGATGCTTTGGACAAATCTCAGCCTTGCTGTGTGACTCTAGTCCCTCCCCAGGAGCAGGACTGTCCTGCTTGGCAAAACCTGTCAGAAGACAGGCTTAAAAACTGCAAGATGGTAAAAAATTCCAGCAATGAGCAAGTGTTTACCAAAGGCTACATGCCACGTGGGTACATGAGCTGTCCCTTTCTCACCTGTGATGGGACAAATTAATTGATACCTGAATAAAAATGAAAGCAACAGCAGCTTGTGTTCCCTTCTCTGAAAGGGATGAGGGATATCAGCTCCAGGGTGAGGGCCACCAGCTATGACCGTTTTCCCGGGTGACATCGCTGTTGGTATCACTGAGTTGGTGGTCCCCTGGCCTGGGGCCAACCAGTCCTCCCACAGTGGCTCCAGAGACAGCCCAGCTCCCCAGCAGAGCGTTGCCACCTCCAGTCTGAGTGCACACGGGAGAATTTCTGTTTCTTTCAGCAGCTCATCCAAAATCAGGAATAACATAAATGCAAACATACTGCCACATCTCCTTCACGTTTCTGGGATGTTTCAGAACTAGGCTGACTTCAAGTGAAGAGCTAGGCTGATGGGGAAGAGGCAATAAATGCCCAGAAGGGGCTATATAAACCACGGCCAAGTTACCCAATAGCATTCCTGCCCCCACCTCCCCTTTTTACTTTTTTAAAAACTTTTATGTTTTTCTTTAATAGCAAAAGAATTTCTCTTGTTTGTCATTGCAGTCTGGGACTATTTTTAACACTACTAATGAGTGACTAAAATGGGGTGGAGTAGCTAAGCCAGCTACGCTGCTCCCAGCCACCCACAAGGTTTATCTGACCATCAGAGGAGGAGCTGGACCAGGGCCATCCCGCACGAGAAGGCAGAGCAAGGCGCCTGCAAACACGAGACATGCAGAAGAAAATGTCTGTGTCCCGGGACACGTGTGGTGAAAACAATGTGCAACAGTTCCTGCAGCTTATTAAAAAAAGCCCCAGACTCCTCACAGGGTAGGCACGTCCGACACTTTAAGTATGTTTCTCCGCATTAATCTCTGAGCAGGGCTCACAGAGCATGTAATTTGCATCTCATCTGCCCATCAGGAAAAGATAGGAGAAAAACCATCTGTGCAAAGAAGTTATTCCTAGACTAAAGCTTCAGAAATGGTACCCAGATGAATGCAAATAGCGGTTTCCCGCGGGGTCAGTAAATTACCCAAAAATGTAACACATGGCCCACGTTTGTCCTTCTGTCCTTTGGTCTCTGCAGAGGTGTGCTTGCATTTGGGGAGTGGGAACCTGTTGAAAGGGGTACATCCCGCATCCCTTCTCCTCCCGCCATCACCAGGATTGCTGCATTCGGAGGAGGAACCGAAAGTAACCGTGGGAAGCACCAGATGGCAGTTGCTGAATGCAGCGCTCTGTCTGCCAAGTCCTTGCGAGCAAAAGAGCGCACGTACTCAACGGGAACGAAGACGCCGTCATCGGAGCATGACGACAGGACGGGGGACGCAGCGCTAGCCGCAGTGGAAAAGCAAGAAACACTCCAATCTGGACAAACATTGTAGAGGAATATATGTGCGTGTATATATATATTAGATATATGTATATAAAAAGGCCTACATAATGTGGGGAACTGCTGTAGAACGTTCAAACCTCTACTGATACGAAATTGTTAGAGGCAAGTTGCACTGATGGGTTGACTGTGTTTACTGCAGAAGAAAATTAAGATGCCTACAGACCCAGGCATGTTCTGGGTTGTTGCAGTGGTGTAAGACAGAGGGCTGGAGCAGTAGAGGATCTGTCCCCCAGCCCTCCACCCCAAGATCATCATTCTTCTAACACCAGGGAAGAGAGCAAGCACTCGTGTGCCCGGTGTGGAGCCCGGCACCGTGGCTCACAGCGCTGGTGAGGGGGGTCTGAGATAAGACAGCGGCCCTCGGGCTGCCCAGGCCCTTGTTCCCGTTCCCCAGCGGGCTGCCCAGCTGAATAGCAAGGACACAGCCTCGCCAAACCTTGCAGCAACGGCTCAAAGCGTCACCGTGGCAAGGCACTGATGCCCTGTGTCCTTGCAGTAAGTGACATGCATTTAAAAATTATGGTTTTCTTCCCACCCCCTGTGTCCAATCCCACTTGGTTGATTCACCAGAAACACGGGTTTTATAAGTCACCTTGAGTATTCCCAGTTGTGACATGCACAGGACCGAACTGTTCCAAGAAGCACTACATTTTTAAAGCATTTAAATATAATATTATATGTATTTTCAAACGTTAGACAGAAATGAAAGCATCTTCCTTCAGCTGGGATGGCAGGGGGAGACAAAAATATTTCACTATTTTGAAGCAGTAACTTCACTGGAATTAAAACACACGTAAGACAGGTGTATGGAGTACAGCTTGGAAATATTTGCTTTGGCCCATAGGGGAAGTCAGATATTACCATGCAGCCTTAAAACTCAGGGAATTAAGAGATTTGGGATGACAAAAGAAACCTACCTGGAGATGCATTCCTAAACTTAAAAGAGAAGAAAGGCAATTTTGTAGAAATATTAAAAATTAATGATTTTTCAGTGCTTATCTATAGGGAGACAGGATGTTGGTCTGCCTTTTATTAATTTGGTTAAAATAGTTCCATTTGCATGTGATCTCAGGTTGGTCTAGCTCATGTATATGCTAGAGCAAACTTGTATGATACAAACTGGGATTTTAAAAATTTCTTTTTAAATCAGTACCATAAACAGCTAAAAGTTGCTGAACTCAAGTTATTTATAGAATTATACAAGGTGCTATAACTGAAGTAGACCAGTGGCAGCAGAGATATCTGGTGTAAACAGAGCCACAAACACTTATAGTAGCTAAGAATTTCTCCTATAAATCACAGCCCTAAGATCTCAAAGGTCAGATTTCCTTAAGCAACTGTGTAGAGTGGTCAGAAAAATTTAATTGTGCTCCTTTATATTAAATTAACATACAGCTAATGAAGGAAGAAAAAAGAAACCCAAATCTTTTTTATCTTTAGGATTTACAATAAAGACTAAGCAGTTTCTCTTCCTGCAGGGATTACATACACAAATGTAAAGACCAGTCACATGAGGCTTTACTCACAGTAGCTTCAGCAAACATATTTGCCAAGGGCGAGTGGTGAAGCAAGGGGGAATCTGGACCTGCAGTAGCAACGCACAGTTCAGAGCTGCCACTTCTGCTGCCCAGAGGAGCATCGAGACCACCCCCTGTTCAGCCACTCCGAGGTCTGTGGGATGCTGATACTATGAAGGGATTGATTTTTGCTTGGTCAGGTGGCCAAGCCCTTCAAGCTCAATAATTTAAAATTCAACCCCACAGGGTTTATTTAGAAAAAGAACCTTTGACACCCACAGAGAGGCTGGGAAAATAGCCCATTCGCACCTCCAGCTTTTTGCTCAATGGTATTTTAATTACATCCAATGAGGATCCAGATTTCCTCCCAGATCTAGTGTTAATTCACTGGGCTTTAGAGGATAATTATACATTACAAGGGCAAAACAGAGCCTTCAGACATATGCATATTATATAATTTCTGAAGAACGTCCCAGTGAATTGCAAGTATGGTTACAAATTACAGTAATTCCAAAACACAAACATGATAACATGCTTTGCTGACCTGTGGTTGTCTTGAAGTCTCTTCCCCACGGGCTAAGACTATTTTGAACAGTATGGAGATACCAAATCAAGCTGAGAAGCTGCAGCACTGAATTTATGCTAACTGCATCCCTGCATTTATCAGTTATCAACTGCATCAATAAGAATTGTGCTTCTTATCAAGAGATGGTAAATGAATAAACACGGAAAGATTAAAAAGTGCTGAATCCTTTCAAGAGGGCTACATGAAAAGCCTTAAGTAGACAATATTTCTTCACAACAAACATACTGCCAGGTTTAATACCACAGCTATTAGAAATTATTTACTGAATAGGAAAAGATGATTTTTCATTCCCCGAATAGTAAATAGTACATGTATTCTTCCAACTGAGAGAAAAAGCACAGAACAGTTGCAGTTCGTTTCTTCTTGATTCACAGTTGCAAACAATAAAAGTTCACCACAAGAACTTTCTCTTTCAGAATAAAGTAGAAACATCCAGTTGCTAAAAATACAAATCTCGTCTTCTGTCATGAATCTGAATACCTGAAAGACAGAGCAGCATCAGGACAGTCAAACAGCACAGTCCATAAGATCTCTTAAGGTGTTGTGCAAACAGAATTGCACCTTTGGGTCTGATGCAAGAGGGCCCTTACTAGAATAACCAGAATGATCCATCCAAAAGTATCCTCAAAATATTGCACATCAAAGAACCAAGATTGGGGTATGACACAGTCTCAAGAGACTAATAAAAATATGGCAGCCTGAATATTTTGGGAATAATTTCTTAGAACAAGCCTCCTAGCAGCGTGGTGAAAACGGCAGTAATGGTAGCACACGGGTCCAGCAGGGACCTCAGCCTGAAGCCAGGTGCTTGAGAAAAAAAGCAAGAGGTGTCCTATCTTTCTGGGAACTGAAACTTGGACAGCCAGTGCAAAACAGGCATTGTGAAGTGGCAGGATGACGGCATAACCACAAAAACTAAGGTAGATGGAGTTAGGAAATAATGTATCTCATTTTAATAGAACGTTTTCCCTCTTCTCAATGTAGTTATGGGAGGTGGTATGTCTATCTGGGGGAAAAACAAGCTTTTGAAACACAGTCTGGAAGCAAGCAAGGCAGCATCTTCAATTCTGCATGAATAAACAGGGCAGCTGTCCTTCACAGGTGAGCACTGCTTTGTTCCACACCTCTTGGTTTGATTACTCACCTGCAGTGGCATGGCTCACACTGGGATTTTCTGAGCCTTGGTAAGAGCTTGCTTTCCTCTCTTCAAAAAAAAAAAAAAAAGAAAAAAAAAAAAAAAAAGAATACTGGAGATGAGCAGAGATTCAACATAGAGCTAAAAGTAGACAGTAGTTCCTAAAGAAACCTTGTGCTTTTGCAGCCCAGCCTATAGCACAGGTGCTGGGGAGGTCTGTGCTGTCTGGCACAGCAATATACACTTCCATAAATATAAATATCAGCTGTTCTTAAACATGACACAGCACAACGAGAAGTATATTTAACAGACAGAGCCAAGAAACAGGGACTCCCACAGCCAGACTAGATGCACACATCCTAGGGACTTGCCAAAGACGCCCTGTGAACATGGGCCAGCCGTTTCTTATCTGTTCTTTTGGGGTTTCTTGATAAGCACATGTATGGCATTACACATGTGGTGTTACAAGGCTCCCCAAATGTTCAGAAAGGCCCGGTAAACATCCTGAGAGAAAAGGCTTTAATTGACGATGCCTGGGGAACGTTGAGCTGTTTAATTTCCTTTCCAAATTTTCCCCACTCGTTTCTGAAGTTTTGAAAAAAAGCCCACTGTTGTTAGCACTCCTTCCCTTTTTTGATCCCAAGACTAGTTTCATGAAACATCTTTTTTTGGAGCAGTCAGTTCCTCCTGCTCCCTAAGCCTTCATAAGCTCACATTGCCCCCTTGGGGGAAGAGGGCACCTAACCTTGTTCTTAAATTAAACCCTAGAGGTCCAGACAGCGTCTTTAAAGTAATTAGGCTGTCATTTACTAGCCGCGAAAAGTCTAGTGTGCGTATCTGTCCAACACATACCTACAGTCTCAGCTAGATCTGTGTACCATGAGCAGAAAGTTTGTATTCCAGCTGAAGACATACACACTCTCCCGTTCCCATGCACAGACACAGACAGGCATTAGACACTCTAGCAGGAGTAAGTTCACAAAACACCTACAGATGGGGTCCTCGTAACAACACAGCTTCAGTGTAGCCTCAAAAGAGGAACTGTGGATAAGCCTGACTGCAGATATAAACAGTAGTTTTAGCCCACATTCTGCCAAATTCCTGCTGATGCAGATTAGACACCGAGTAACCAGTGGGTATTTCACAGCTGGTTATTTTTCAAAACCTAAGACTCAGGATTGCTTCTTCACATGCCCCGTCCTTTTTATCTAGAGGCACCAGCTAGGACGTGCTGTATTTTTTCAGCAGACTCCCTAAACAATTTCACAACCTTTCCTTCTTGGAGACCAGTGCCAAGCTGACTGTGTGGGTAACGCCCAGGAACAGCAATGCAGGCGTACCCTAACAGTGCACCAGGGCTCTGGCCAGGAAGCTTGATCCCACAGAGCTTCTCAAGAGGCAGAAATTACTCACAAGGGAGCAATTTTATCCATCAGACCTAGATGCTGTAGGGATGTAAACTCCCAGGAAATGGACTTCAGTCACCAGTCATCTCTCTCCTGTGTGCTGGTAGTACCTAGGATTGGAATTCCTACTAATTGTTAGTAACAAATGAGCAACAACCATCGCTTCTGTGTGAATTGCATTGGCTCTGGGAAATGTACTGCAGGGAGCCATCACGGCCTTTGACACGCAGGGCAGGAGGGCTTCATGGCAGGCAGCAATAAGCTGGGAGGCAAGGCCAGGCTGGCCTGTCAGCCCCTTTACCCTAGTCCTTCCAACTGCAGACAGAGACTGGGGAGGGAGCGAAATCCCTGGCCTTTCTGGTAGGGGCTGCAGTTTCACACTGTGTATTCAGAATATCAGTAAGGACTCACACAGTAAGATGAGTTGCTCAGGGCTCTTACCTGGCCACCCCTTTCTGGTCATAATACAGGAGCACCCAGTACACACAGTGCCACCTTACCTGCTATTTATAAGGTAGAGATTCTGATAGCACTGTGGATAATGTTCATATCCACTTAAAATATCTCCCTAATGTAAGCCAGAAGGGAAAATATTGTGCAAGTGGGCAATGCGTATTTTTGATTAAGCTAATATAGCTAATCCATCCCAAGTACCACATCACACAGGTTAACTACTGGAAAAAATTTCTATGAGCTGGGCTGAAGATGGCTCCAATTTAAGAACCTATGAAGAGACTGTATTATTTTGTCTCTTTACAGAAGATGCCATCAAAGAATAAAGTGATAGTGTTTCCTTACCTCCCCCAGGAGCTGAACTTTGACTTATATTTTGTAACCTAGCAGGTCCAGTCATACAAGCAGAACTTGAGTGTTGCTTCATGGTACATTCTTGCATGGATGTTAGGCACCTTTCCTGCTGCAGGAGACCAAGAAGAGAACCGTATTTCCTGTCAGAGATCGGTTCATCTACCGTGTGCAGGTCAGGCAAGGCATGATGATACACCGAACTGGTAAGACTGGGAGTCCCAATCGAAGGGAAAGGCCATAAATCTGCAGGTTGAGTTGGATGACTCCTCAGAGCTGACGGCTGGTATTGGCCTGCCGTACCAACAGCAGAAAAATTCAGACCAGAATTTGACATGCTTGTAGCAGAAGATGACGGGTATGGTTTGGAGCAATGTGAAGAAAAATTCCACTGATGGGGAGACATGCTATCTACTTAAAAAGAGAAAGAAACATCTGAAGTCTCATCAATTCTTCCTTTTTGCGCGAAGCAAATTCCAGTGGACTTCTAAGAGAATGCTACCAGATTGCCTATTCATTTTTAAAGAAATATATATTCACTTTAGTGCTGATTATCTTAAAAATCAACAGTAAATTCACACTAAAAGCAGACTAAACCACCACCCTGAATACTTTCAAACAAATATTGCATGTGTTTTCTTACAGGCTGTTAGCATAGGCAGAGTTTTAACAGTTGCAAGCTTAGACAAATGCATTTTTGCAAAGACAACAAATTAAGTCACAACACAATGTGTCTGACAGTGATGGAGTCTCTTGGCTGGAAAATGAGGATGTGGTCCTGCCAACAGGCTCAGGTAGAGCTTGGAAAGAACCCCAGCAAACACTGAGATTTACCTCAGAATCCCCAGCTACATAATCTGGGGCTTTTCAAGCATGATTTTCTTGCTTTTTATTTGCACGCAATTTCAAATTTAAACACGGTGCATCTTAAATGTCTTAGTGAAAGCTAGTCACCCCTGTCTAACACCACGCTCACACACAGAAAGCAGCTCACCATTTTTCAGGACGACAGTCTCACCCTTGTGCTTTGTGCTCAGGTCTTGTGGGTTTTTGGCATTGCTTAGAGCTCTAGAAAAATGTTCATCTACCACGCTGTTAATATCCCCTTGGAAATATGTAAATACAACACTCTGAGACCCCCATTCTGTTTTCACAGGTTCTTTGGTTTTACACGGCTTTGGAGAGAGCTTCCTTGTTTCTTCCATTTTCAATAACCAACAGCCCCTGCCAAAACAAACCACACCGGTCAGAGAAAAACTATTCAACATAAAGTGCTCAGTCAGTGGTGAGCCCATCTTCGTCCTGAAACTGGTAGGGCCAGAAGAGCTGTTACTAGTAAGATGAGATTTTTTGATCTGGGTTTCTGCTTCTTCCATGCAACTTTTCTTTACAGATTTCCTTAATATATACTTCTAATATAAAATACTTTAAGTATAAAACAAAAGGAGGAGCCATTCAATAAACATGCATTACATTTTTCAGAATTGTGATGGGAGTCCATTTTTCCCAATCAGACAAATCAAGTCCTATTTAACTCATTCACAGCAGTATATTTTCTGGTGAACAATACGTTCAATATGACTGACTGTACAATATGCCACATTAGTAAGGGATATTGCATCTTCAAGCAGTGAATGGCTCAAAGAGATTCTTTTGAATCATACTAACCTTGCAGCCATAGAATTGACTCTATTGAAAAATAAAACAGGCACATCTATTCACCAGCTGTCATTTCTCATCTGCCTTCATCCATCTTTATAACCCTGGGCTTAGGAGCCAGTACTGTGCAAATATGCCCTGAGGATGGAACAGCGCTAAAAGAACTGAAGCACTTGGACAAATAATTCAGCAGTGGCATTAGCCCTGGATGAAGTTCAGGGTAAAATTATCAAAATTCTTTGCCCAATTCCAGTTTTTGCATTGTTCAAAAAACATACCAACAGAGGGGGAAAAAAAAAAAAAAAGGAAGAAAAAAATACCCATCAGAACTTAAAATAACAGCTTTAGATAAGGTGAAGTTTGAAGTACCTTGATCACTGTCAGCACAGACCTCCACAAGGAAAAGACTTCTGGGAGTAGTCAGTCACTTGACCTGTTAGAAAAAAGACACTCAGATTAAATTGTCGGAAATTCAAATTATGGCAAATTCAAGTAAAAAAAACCAAACAAACAAAAACCAAAAAACCCCACAAAAAACCCAAAACAACAAACAAACAAACAAAAAATTTTCTGTTTGAAACAATTTACCAAGGAACATGGTGGTTCTGCCAGCTGCTTAAAACTTTAGTAACAAGACTGCTAACACACACACTGTAGCTCAATCAGAAGTTATGGATTTAAGGCAGGAATTACTCTAAAACAGTTTGCAGGAAGTCAACAGAAGACTGTAAGACTCCTGTTTGTTCTCCTTAAAAATCTCTGCTGCCACATATGGTAAGAGTAGGACAAGGAACATCACCGCTTGTCCTGGAGAAGTATCGTTTTTACACATCTGTGCACTTTCTGGCCACAGGGGAGCTCGTTCTACAACCAGAGCTCGTATGTTCTGCTGTAATCAAAATCATATTTAGCAACACTCAGGCTGTGAATGCAGTGAGAAGTGCCGGCTGTTTCTATTCAATTTTCCAGTCTCATTGTCAGCTCCTCACATCGCACAGCATAATTAATTTACCTAGGTAGCAGAAAGAAGGCTGTTATTTCTCAGAGATGGGGGAAGCCTTCGGCAGATAGCCAGTTGTATCATGCAAAACCTTATGAATCATTAGGTTTGTGTCTCCATCCAACTAACCCTACAATACGTGGCATTGCTTAATCTATTTTGATACGTTTATCTGATTTCTTTTCTAATCATAAACCCTCCAGTCCTCAGAAGCTTCCTAATAAACACTGCACTCATCTGTGCCTTGAAGGGTATTCCGAAGTATCTGCAAAGGCTGCCTCCACATGGTCTCTCAGTGTTTCTTACACATGAAAAGACTCTTCAAGGCTGCAAAGCCAAGTATTCAGACATTAAAAAATATGAGGATTAAAGTTATCCAGCCATAATCCATCCCCCTTTTTAATCTTAAACATTCATCTACAAAATTCTTGTCCTTGTTTATCATTTGCTTTTATGTCTAGTTTTGCTTGTTAGCTCTACCTTGTTCTCTGTTCAGTTCTCCCCTGTTCACAATCTCTTGCTCAGCTAGCTCTAGTCCCCTGACATCAATCACCAATTTGTGTTCAAACCCAAGAGTTCCTCAGTCCTCATCCTGGGATTTCTATTGTTTTGCCCATCTGGCATCCTTTCCCCAGCTCTAGCTGAACACAGTGGCAGGGACGGGACAAACACAGCAGGTTAGTCAGCAGTTTGGAAATGCAAGTGCATACTCTGTAACAGTCATCTGATTCAGGAGAGAATCTTTCAGAACTTTAAAACTGACCAAACTTTCCCAAACATGGAAGACTTAAACCAAGAAACCTTCCTCCTGAGGTACGGGCACCTTCCCAAGGCCCATGAGGGAAGCAGGAACTAGCACAACCCCGCCAAACAACTGGAAGAACTTCAAGAACAGGAAGAGAAACTATATTTTGCCAGTCTTGTTTTAGGAAGCAACCCACTATTTAGGTTAAGAAACTTTCTGGTTGCTCAGCTGGAGGCCCACGCTTGCCGTGGAAAATTCAGACCCAAGTGGTGAAAGTCTGGCAAAGTCATCAGCATCCATCTGGCTGGAGAAAGGACTACATCAGGCCATCTCAACAGCAAGCAGCAAACCAGCTCTTCCTACACTGCTCTACCACTACACATCAACATACAATTTAAAAAGCATTAGCTCTGGCCCAGAGGTCTATTTTTCCTGTTCCTCACGCAGTGCAAGCTAGCTATTGTGCCTTTGTACCACTTTATTAACATGCTTAACTTGCTCATGACTTTAACTGTAAGCTCTTTTAGCACTGTTTATTGGTGCGCAGCAGTTGTTATGCTTGTGTGAATTGTGACCACAGCAGCTACAATGCTAGAAAAATAATAGGTTTTTTAAAAGAAAGAACAGTCATTCATCTATTTTTCTCATTTCCCTTAAAAACCTCTTGTGTTTTTCAACAAGTAGTCACAAGAAGGCTGGATATAACCTAGGTTATATCTCAGTCCTCTCAGTGAACCATGTGCATGTGAGGAATCTAATGTCCCAAGAGCCAGGACTTAAATTTGGAGTACACTGTGGTCTCTGTCACCTGAACTTCCCATCCTTCCATCTTCCAGCAGAAAGTCTGCAAAAAAAGGCAGAAATCCTTCCGATTTGTGTCTGCCATAAACTGTTCTCAAAATATAGTAGAAGCGGCCCTTAGGATGGAACAGATTCAGCTTGCTTCACACTGCTCTCAGAATTGGTTAATTATGGCAAAATAGTGCAAGTACTTGTCCAAGTTATCTGTCTTTCAGGTAGACAAGGATGCATGCTCAACACAGGGTTAAGAGACAGGGTTGTTGACTGGTCACCACAAGTGAAAATACAATATTTTTCACATTCCCCACCTTTACTAGTAGTAGTGATTTCCCATCACTGTAGCATCAGACAGGGAACTCTGGTTCTATTTCATACAGCCCAAACCAGTTTTTAAAATAATTAAAATAAATTTCCACTTCCCAAACATGAAGCAATAATTTAACAAGCTGGCAGTCCTTCCATCTATCTTTCAAATGAGGGAACATCTGAGAAAGTCAGTGAACATATGTTGAAATTATCATTGAATTCTCCTACCTTAACTCCCTGCCACAAGCGGTGTCACACCAGTAAGATCTTCCAGCTGTGGGATGGTCATGCTGTGTCCAGCAGTTTGGGATCTGTGCCCCAGCACACTATGTGCCCTCTGCAGAGACTGCGGGAGGAGACAAGCAACGTTCATGAACTCCCTACATGCTTTCTAGCCTCTAGCTGCGCGTGAACTAGGCGTTTCCTTCAGCCTATCTGCTAAGAATGTATGAAATGCACTCCAACAAGTCAACCAGGTTAGGAGGTTTCAGGAATGAGGAAAAGAGGATTGTAAGTAGGGTTTTTTTTATGACAATGTGTACACAATAAAGGAGACAGCGTCTGGACTTCGGAAGAGTTTAGTGTAAGATGATAAACAAGTTATGGCAGAGAACCAAACTTGGCCAGGGTCAGAAAGGATTTTCCTATGCCAGGTTATGGCTTATTCAGCTTTAAGTGTGCATCTGCAAGAAGGAAAATGTCACCTGTCTCCATCCCAGATAAGCTGGATAACCAATCTTTTCTCTCTTCACTGGATCTGTTTAAATAACTGCAGAAATCTTCAGAAAATGAAAATATCACTCTTGTTCTGTAAGGGCTGTAGCAAGAAAGAGGTAGTTTGGGTTTTTTTTGCAATAAGTTTACTAAAACTACCAAATTGCAGCCATTCCAGAAATGCTGAATCAGGGTCAAATTTGCCAGGCTCAGTTGGAAAAACGCACTGGGGAACTAGAGTCACCAAACTGGTGACGTTGTATTTTATGCAGTAGCTTAAGTTTGTTTACTTACCCAGAAAGTAGGAGAGGACAATCCAATTCCTTCTGCCTAAATACAGAATCATAGAATCATCTAGGTTGGAAAAGACCTTGAAGATCATCCAGTCCAACCATTAATCTCACACTGACGGTTCCCAACTCCACCAGATCCCTCAGCGCTGGGTCAACCCAACTCTTCAACCCCTCCAGGGATGGGGACTCCACCACCTCCCTGGGCAGCCCATTCCAACAGATAACAACCCCTTCTGTAAAGAAATGCTTCCTCATATCCAGTCTAAACCTTCCCTAGTGCAACTGGAGGCCATTCCCTCTTGTCCTATCGTTTGTTCTTGCTTAAAGAGGCTCATCCCCAGCTCTCTGCACCCTCCTTTCAGGAAGCTGTAGAGGGCGATGAGGTCTCCCCTCAGCCTCCTCTTCTCCAGACTAAACTCCCCCAGTTCCCTCAGCCGCTCCCCAGCAGACCTGTGCTCCAGACCCTGCCCCAGCTCCGTTGCCCTTCTCTGGACACGCTTGAGTCATTCAATGTCCTTTTGTAGTGAGGGGCCCAAAACTGAACCCACTCATCAAGGTGTGGCCTCACCAGTGCTGAGTACAGGGGCAAGATCACTTCCCTGTCCCTGCTGGCCACACTAATCCTGACACAAGCCAGCATGCCATCGGCCTTCTTGGCCCTCTGGGCACACTGCTGGCTCCTGTTCAGCCAGCTGTCAATCAACACCTCTAGGTCCCTCTCTGACTGGCAGCTCTCCAGCCACTCCTCCCCAAGCCTGTAGCGCTGCTGGGGGTTGTTGTGGCCCCAGGGCAGCCCCCGGCATTTGCCCTTATTGAAACTCTTCCAGTTGGCCTCAGTCCATCGCTCCAGCCTGTCCAGGTCTCTCTGCAGAGCCTCCCTGCCCTTGAGCAGATCAACACTCCCACCCAACTGGGTGTCACCTGCAAACCGAGGGTGCACTCGATCCCCTCACCTAGATCATCAATAAAGATGTTAAACAGGAGTGGCCCCAACACTGAGCCCTGGGGGACACCACTCGTGACCGGTCACCAACTGGATTTAATATGTATGAATCCGCCCTCTGCCATCTCCCAGAACAACTTAACTACCAGGCTGTAAGATTTCCTGGGACAGCGCTTAGTCTTTTATTGACACACTCTTTGCATAAACCCATTTTCGTTATGAGACAGACTGGATTCCAGTCTATCAGCAGGGCAAGTGCCCTCAATACCTGAGTCATTCATTCTTTGATCCCCTTTTCTAAACTGTTTCATAGAGCAGATTCTTCTGCTAAAACTTTTCAAGACCTTGTTGAAGAATCTCCTCTTAGGTTGGCAGTTAAAGCACTCATAAGGTTGTTAGATGGCATCAGTTTAAAGCTCCTCAGTGAACAGCCCAAAGAACTACTGGCTAAAAATGGGATTATCGTCCCTATTCCTTTGTAGTTTATCAACTGAAACAACTGATTTCCAGCACTTTTTAAATATGAAATGTTAAGCTTTGAACCAAGAAAATAATAATTTCTGAGAATAAAAATTGAAATTCTGTTTGTCCTTAACAAACAACCTCCCTCCCACACATGCTCAGTTTTAACCATGGTGCTGCAGTCATTCCTCCCGCTCCTTTTATGTGCGGGCAGGATCCATGAACACACCAAGCCAGGATGAAGTCCGAGGCAAAACCCACAGAGGGAACAAATACCATGTCCCACTGTAAACACTCGCAGTTCCAGCAATATGTCTGCTGGACTCCACTTGGAAAGCTCTGGCCTGTTAACACATACGCTTTATAAACTGAAGTCACTGGGCACCAAATGCTGCTGTACCTTTACTGAGGACAAAAGTAGGACAAATACATTATCTCAAAACTAATCAGAAAAGACTTGTTTTGTTCATGAGTTTGTTTATTAAAAAGGTAGTATAAAACACAACCCCTTTAAGAAACAAAATTGAAGACAAATCAAGGGATTCTCAGATGCTGTCACAGGTCTAGATATTATTCAAATGGGTTTTTTGTTTTGTTTTGTTTTTTTTTTTAAATGTTGGTTTTCTAAAGGATAAATGAAAATGATCAATTTACTGAAAGAAAAAAACCTGTCAGAAAAATTCCAAGTCAGCGTACTGAAAAGTTTAATCTAACAATATACTTTCATATTACAGAATGAGCAAAAAACAATTTGCTGCAAAAGATTTCATAATTCTATAAATATTTTACAGAACTTTCAAGAGTATCCTGACAGTAAGACTTCAAGCCTTGTATAGTGAGCACTAAAATACACACAAGTCAAATCAACACAAGTACACAACTTACATAATTCATTTATCATACTGCAGTATGTTTCCTCAAATTCAGAAATAAAAATAAGAATTTTAAATCCAATTAAAGTCTATAGTTTGGTTTTTTTTTTCTTTTTTTAAGAATCTGATTAGCTTATACAGTTCAAGAATTCAGGGTATGGATATTGATTTTACTGGAAAATTTAAAGGCAAGTTTGGGTTTCTATGAAGCATCCAATACCTTTAAGCTTTCTTAAGTGAATTAAGCTAAGTTATTTGTAATTGTAAATAGATTAACCTTCACTGAATAATGTCTAGGACATGTTTTAGCTAAAATGCACTGCATTTAACATACTAATGATTTTAAGTGAATTGCAATCCTTATACAAAACCTAAGTTGTACAAGGGACTGAAATTCAATTAAAAAAGTAATTAAAAAAAGTCAGCAGGAGAAACAGATAAACATTTTGATGCAAAATGAAACTAATTCTCTCTTTACAGCTGTATATGAACATTCGAGAACCTGCTACAACTTACATGCCTTTTCTTTTGGGGCCTTTTGTTTCCTGATGTCTACCCTGGCCATGCTCCTCAAACCACGTAATCTCTGATGAATACTTTTAACTCCGTACAATTACCTTGCCAGCAAAACACTAAATAGCATTTGATTGTAAAGCAAACTACCAATATATCTTGAAGCTAAGCAACTGACTTTGCGTTGCATGGTTAAGAAAGTGATTTTTCTATGCTGAATTTTGCTGAAGTACCAGTTAGTTAATACTCTTTCCCTGCTGTTATATTTAAGTGGTTTCACATCCATTTTGTCACACTGTGCAAATTAGTAGAAATGGTTATTTCTCTAGTTCAAAACTGAGCAACAAAGATTATCCACAAATTGTTTCAACCTGCCGCTAGTTATTGTTTCCATAATATACAAAGGGAAGCAGACTGCTTTTCTTAAAATGAACCTCTCACCAAAAGCCTACAGATGAAGGAACACACGGTATGGTGGAACGCTGGAATGGAACCTAAGAAAAATTAGAAACTGAGCAAAAATGCTTGATTTTGTCACTTCTAAGGAGCAAGACATGTCATTAGAAAGCACTTTTAATTAAAAGAATACAGTAAAAATTGCATTGGGCTTTTAACTTCTTACCAATTCATTTATGATGATGCTCAGTCAGAAAAAAAGTATGTTTAAAAAGCAACTCAGCTTGTTCAGCTTCAGATTTGTTAAAATTTGGTATTAAACATTACTGCTCTGTACTACAAGTTCTTATTCATCCTTTAAAATAGTAATTTTAACTTCTGTGAAAAATTTTAATCTATGTTCAGATTAATTTATAAAAATTTGCATCATTTAAAAAAAGGAAAACATCAAAAGAATTAGGTCTCAATGAAAATCTGCTGAAAAGAAAGTCACAGCTGCATTAACCTCTCCTTAGACTATTAAATGCCTCAATAACTCAATGAATAGTTTATATAAAAATATATTTTTACTTTTTACTGGGGAATAACAGAGGTAGACAAAAGGAAAACACCAGTTTGAGTGTAATGCCGCACTTCAGAACAACATATTTTCATGGAAAACCAGCTTTTATTTTGTTAAGAATCCTAGTTAATAGGAAAGCCAGGAAAGCATTTGGTCTCAAGTCTTTGTTGGTGCTCTACTTCAGTGTGAAGTCTGGAGGAAAAGGTGAAAAGACTAACATCACATTTGACTTTTGAAGCAAGCCAATCAAATTTGTACATCAGTTGGAGAGAGGAAGGTTACTGCACATCATGATTCTTTATTTTTCAGAGTCTTTTTTCAAACACTAACACTAACCTTAGTTTTTATATCTGATACCATGATAAGGCTTCATAGAACTGTACAATATTTATACATTTGTCAACGGTTTCCCTATATCAGTTGCAATTCCACTGTAAAACAGGCGATTTAACTGTGTATGTAGAGTGTTATATGACTATTCTCTCAAAAAAAATAACCTAACAAAACACAACAATATAACAGAGCTAAAGCCTGGAGTCTAGAAGCTGGAAGGAAAAAAGGAGCACTGAAAGCAGTACCCACCACACTAAATTACACTCTTCATATGCAAAAACTTCCAGCCCTCAAAGGTCTGTGGTACTTGTCACCAATAAAAATAACTAAGGCAGAACTAACACAATCCAGAGATGTAATCTGAATATGCCACTACGTGCAGCTACAAA